GAATGGAGGGCAGCTTTAGAGGCATCTTACAAGAGAGACGTTTCATGGGATGTACTTCCTTTTTTTTTTAAAAATTTTTTATTTATTTGGCAGACAGAGATCACAAGTAGGCAGAGAGGCAGGCAGAGAGAGGAAGGGAAGCAGGCTTCTTGCTGAGCAGAGAGCCTGATGTGGGGCTTGATCTCAGGACTCTGAGATCATGACCTGAGTGGAAGGCGGAGGCTTTAACCCACTGAGCCACCCAGGCGCTCCCATAGGATGTATTTCATAGGAAGAATGAATAGGACTTAGAGACTGAGTATCGGGGTAGTGGGAGGACTTGTTTCTGCTTTGAGGACTTTAAATCTGGTTGATGCTGTTGCCATCGTTGAAAGGAAGCTGGTTTTGGGGAAATTTTAATTAAGAGGTTTTTTTGGAGCCTATAAATTGGGTCTTATCTCTCTGCTTTTCATTTTATTATTACCATGTGTGTTGAACTAAACTGATTCCTTTTATTCCTTTCATATTTACTGTTCTTTCTCTTCGTTTCCCTCTTGGTATCTACAGTTGTTTTTATGCTTCTAATGCTTAAACCATGTTGAAATGTATATGGACTATTCCTTTTAATAGTGAATCTTTGTGTTTCTATAGTTTTTAAAAACTTCAGTCCTCATCACCAATTCACTTCATGTATTTTTTTTTAAAGATTTTATTTATTTATTTGATAGAGAGAGATGCAGTGAGAGAGGGAACACAAGCAGGTGGAGTGGGAGAGGGAGAAGCAGGCTTCCCGCTGAGCAGAGAGCCCGATGTGGGGCTTGATCCCAGGATCCTGGGATCATGACCTGAGCCAAAAGCAGAGGCTTAATGACTGAGCCACCCAGGCGCCCCTCCTGTATTTTTTTTTTAAAGAATCCTGAATGTACTATAATATATGCTAATGATTTATATATGTACCAAAAATGTATTTCAGGATGTTATATTTCATTTCTTGAATGTTAGTTATTACCACACGCCTCACAACAAGCGGTACCCCTTTACACACACACACACACACACACACACACACATGCACACACACACACACGCAGGAAACAGGTGTTAAACTGTTTAAACCCTAGGCTGTCACTAACATTAATGAAAGAAAGCTAGTGCCATCTGTAATTTAGAATACAAATTTAGAATACACACTTGCCCATTTAAGGGGATGGATTCTATGCTGTTCAAGTTCTTAGGTCTCTTCTTTAAGAAGGAAGACTTGCTCACATAACTTACTCAGGTGGTTCTAAGACCTTTCTTAAATATGCTTTTCCTCAGTGACTATCTTTAGAACCTTAAGATTAGAGTACTGGCACTTACAGGTAGCTGACTGCAGAGTAGAACCTTTTGCACTTTTGGGAAGGAGTGATTTAAAAACCTGCCTTTTCATTGACCTTCAGATGTTTATAACCTTCTTCAGACCACATTTATAGAATATTGATTCCCTTGAGCCATATAATCTAACCAATTCTCAGTTCATCACCTCTAAACTGAATAAACATTTATGCAATAGTTGGAATTCTTAGAAATTTAAAAAAAAACCACAATTTAGGGACAGTCTCTAGCTAGTTGCAAAAGGCTTGGAAACCAGTGACGAAAGAAATCTGTTCATTAAGGTAGACTAAGATCCCCCCCCTTTTTTTCTTTATGTTTTCACATAGTTTTATTTTATAGAAAACATGGTAATTCTAGAAAACTCCCAAAGCTTGACTCCACTTGCAGGAGGCTGTTCAGATTTTTGTATTTTAGTGTGGCTTACAGGCAGATTCTTACACTCTGGGATCAAACTGCCCAAGTTAGAATTGTAGCTCACTCCTTACTAGCTGGGTAACCTCAGACAAATTACCCAACCACTCTAAGCCTCAATTTCTGTGTCTGCAGTATTGGAGAAATGGTAAATTTTCCCTCGGGAGATCTTTGTGAAGATTAAATGAGGCATACTATGTAAAGTGCTTCTGGCACATAGTGTAGACGAAGTTTTTGAGGGTGGTGGTTGAGCAGGTTTTCTAAAGGAGACCAGCAATGAGAGGTTTCAAAATTCTTTCTTTCTTTTTTTTTTTAGATTTTATTTATTTATTTGTCAGAGAGAGAGAGAGAGCGCGAGAGAGAGCGCAGGCAGGGGGAGGGACAGGCAAAGGGAGAAGCAGGCTCCCCGCCGATGCAGGGGCTCAGTCCTAGGACCCAGAGGTCGTGACTCAAGCCGAAGGCAGACGCTTAACCCACTGAGCCACCCAGTTGTCCCATGAGACTTTTTTTTTTTTAAGATTTTATTTATTTATTTGACAGAGATCACAAGTAGGCAGAGAGGCAGGCAGAGAGAGAGGGGGCTGGAAGCAGACTCCCTGCCGAGCAGGGAGCCTAATGCTGGTCTCCATCCCAGGATCCTGGAATCATGACCTGAGCTGAAGGCAGTGGCTTTAACCCACTGAGCCACCCAGGCTCCCCTACCATGAGACTTTTCCAGGTTCTTGGTAATAGGCCATTTGTTTTTGTTTTTACTAAGAAAAAAAAAAAAAAAAAAGAGAAAAAGAGACTGAAGTCATGGCAGAAATACAGACTGCTAAACTGAGAATAGCTGTTTGGATTATTTGACCTTTGGAGATAATGGAATTTGTAAACATATTGACTAATCTCTCTTAAAGTTTTGTTTGAAGCCTAGTTTGGGGGCGGAGGTAAGGGACTCCCTTTATCAGTCTATTCAACAAATAAATGATGATTTTTACATAATTTGTTATTATGCCTTTGGAGATAGAACAGTAATGTGTTTTGTTTTTTTTTTAAATAAGCACTTTCATTATGAATTTTCCTATGTTTCAACATAACATTTGGGGTCTGTTGAACTTGTTTCTCGTATGTGACTTCTTATTGACTGATCTCTGTGGAGTACAAAGTGCGCTTCGAGCATACCGTGTTCAGCTGAAATTTGACTTACTAAACACTCCTCAACTCAACCCTGTAGCAACTGTCTCAGTGTGGCTTGCTATTTCTGCTTTACTATTGTTTGCCTCTTCAGTTATCATACATCAAGGATAAAAATTAATAAATGTTGGAATGTAGGATCTAAGTAATTATGAGCCATTACTGTTCATGTTTCTGAGTCAGTAGATTATAGGTATTTGGTTGATTTAAAAAAACTTAAACAGCCTTCTGACCATTAATGTGCGTATTTCAATGTCAGCATTATTTACTTTTGTATCTTTGCTAGAAAATTCTCTTTACGTCAAAGGAATGGTCCTCTCTCTAGGAAAGTTTATCCTTTTCAACAAACTAATATATTTTGGTAGAGAGAGAAACCCACCTGGAGGAGTGAGGGGGCCAGATCCATACTAGTAATCTCTGTGGTGATAGATTTTCCATTAGAATGTCTTCTTATCCAGCTCTAATTATTCACTGTGATGCAGATGATTTTGAATAACCAGACTTCTTATTTAGTACTTAGAGAATTGTATTTGTCATGGACTTTGGACACTAAAACATTTTAAATATTGATGAAAAAATACACACTAACAGAGGGGATACTGAAATTTGATGATTAGGTTTTGTAATATCTGAACCTAAACTCTTAGTATTTGGAATATTTGTCCCCTTACTGTTTACCAGCTATTTATCGCATCTGCCATTTGCAGGGTGCTGTTACAGCAGCCGCGTTCCATGTGTGGTGAAGAACTAAAAAAATGAATGGGACGTATTTCTTAGATTGAATGTATAGTCCAGGAGGGAGATTAGGTGTGTGATATCCTGTAATACAAACTCCTTGAGATAAATACTGGGAGGTACTGAGACAATGGTTTGAGAGATTAGAGGTAGATGACATTTGAATGAAAGATAAGGGGAAGTTTAATGGGAAAGGTGGCATTTTACTGGCCTTGAAGGAAAGGTAGGATTTGGAAAGGTAGAAATAGGTGATTGAGGGAGAAGAATGGCTTAAACTAAGCCATTCAGGTAGAATAAGGTATGCTATGCTTCGGAGAATGGCAGATGGAATTTGGATTTTATTTGATTTGACATAGTAGGGATCACTAAAGTTTGCTAACAGGGTGTAGTATGCCCGAGGTTGTTTTAAAAAGCTTAACCTGGCAGTGGTATATAGAATTGCTTGGTTAGAATTAGTGACTCACTTGTAAAGTAGAGGAAAGTTTTAAGCCTTGTTTATTGGGATGTGTAGGAACTAGTGCTTTGGAGAAAAACTATTTTCATTGAGATATGCTGAATCGGTTTGGGACCATATTGAGTTTTAGCTGCTAGTGCAATATATGAGTGGAGAATGACCAGGAAGCACTGAGAAATGTAGAGTTGCTAATCTAGAGAGAAGATGGGGCTAGAGATTTAGGTTAAGATGTCATAGGAATAGAGATTAGAGTTGAAGTTATGGTAGGTTGACAAGGAAGAGAGGTCCTTAGGTCAAGAAGGGAGAGAGTTGAGAAAGAGAAGACAGTCTGAGGAATGCTTGTTTTTGGAGTAGAGGGAAAAAAAAATGAAAGAAGCAGTCAGAGGTATGAAGAGGTTGAAAAGAGAATGTTGCGGAGAAATCTTGAGCAGGGAGTTTTGGGAGATATTGAGAGGTAGGAAGAGCATGGGCTTGAATCTCAGTGTTGCCACTTATTAGCTTTGTGACCTTGAGCAAGATGCTTAACATATTTGAACCCCAGTATTTTCATAAAAAATCTCTCTCTCGCTCTCTTTTTTTTTTTTCAACTTGTTTTATTTACAATGCCAACTTTTAAAAGGTCATTAAACTAAAGTTAACCAGACAATAAACTAGGCAGAAATCGCTTTACAAAGAGAGGGAAAGCCCAAAATGCCACCTTCTACAGAGAACTCACAGTTCAGGTTTATTTAGAGCAAAGAAAAAAAAAACTTTTGATTGTACTAGAAGAAACTCAGCCATAAGTTTGGAATCTGTACTCAAACTACACATGCAAGGAGGACAATATTCTGCTTAAACAACTGATTCGCTGCTGCCATTTGTCTACTGTTTGTCTAATATTAACAATTATAAACAGAGCAGTGCAACTAGTATTTGGAACAATCCTTACAGTGTTACAGTGTCAGGCATAACATTTCACTTCTTTTCACACCACTGGTTCTCTTTGCGTACCTGGGCTTCCTCTTCTTCAGTAAAGTCATTTTTGATATTGAAGGTCTTGCGGATCTCCTCAGGAGTTTTCCCCTTGATCATATTGGCAACAGTCTTGCATGTTACATCAAGCAAACCTTTGATGTCTAAGTAGTTTGCAGCCAGAATAAGTACAAACAGTGTTCCTTGGTCAACTTTCAGGAATTCTTGGTCCCAAACAGGGATATCATCTGTCCGCTTTTCTTTGTTCTCATCATCCTCAGGAGGAGGGGGGTCATCCTTGTGGTGGGTGCACCACTGAATGACCTTTTTAAATATTGCTGCATTAACATTTGGTAGAGGAACTGGATCATCATCTCCTTCATCGTCCATTCCCAAATCTTCCAACATGGTCTTGATAGTCACAGACTGTTTGGCGATTTCAACATCAACTTCAAATATCTCTTCATCAGAACTCTGCAACTTAATTGAAGGCATGGTGCTAGGTCTCAGGCCGACTGCGGGTCGGAGGCTGATAAAAACACAGCAGCCTCCGGAACATTGGGAGAAAAGCGGAGAACAAGGCCACTCTCTCGCTCTCTTTTTTAAAGGTTTTATTTATTTGAGAGAGAGAAAGCATGAGCTGGGGGAGGGGGAGAGAGAGAGGGAGAAGTAGGCTTCCCTCTGAGCAGGACTTGATACCATGACCCCGGGATCATGACCTGAGCCGAAGGCAAATGCTTAGCTGACTGAGCCACCCAGGCACTCCCTTATCTCATATTTTTAAAAAATATAAACCAGCACTTGTTATTCTTTTGCACAGAACTCTTCAGTGGTTTTCCATCTCAGTTAACGTGCAAGCTTTACCATGGCCTACAGAATCATACATGATCTGGCTGTTGCTTGTTTGATTACATGTCATACTATTTTCCCTTTGTGTTTATTTCACCTCCACCCAGATGCAATTACATGATTTATATTTTTGAATCTAAGTTTTGCAATCTAGCATAGAGGGCTCCTGATTTCTGAGGAATATCTTAAGAAGGGACAACAGATTGTAAAAAAATGAGCATTGCTGAGGAGTGAACTAATACACGGAGACTTCCTCTTTTTGAGTTTTGACTTTGAGAGAAAAATATCTTACCTCCTATTTGTGCATAAGCAATATACATATGCATATAAGTAACTGCTTTTATTGATTATAAGACAACCTGGATTGAAAGGCTGAAGCACAAACATATCCATAAAAAGGGATAAAAAAGTGTGGTAGGACTTCAATAATAGGTTTATAATATGCTGGTCAAATAATGGACTCTCTAACGGGTTCTGTGCTAGGTGATAATTAGGGAATGGGAATTAATTCAGTTAATTAATTAATTGAAGTGACTGCTTAACAAAGAGCTAAAGAAAAAATTTTTGGAGACTCTTTTCAAAACATGTTAGTACAATTTCTTGCATTACTTGTGTGGTATGGTGATTAGAAGTATGTTTATATTTCTGAGGACTGTACTAGCCACATAGTAATTCATAATGGTAGTTGATACTTTTATGATTAGGGATCTTAAAATATTTCGTCATAGCATACTATCATATTAAAGATTTGTTTGAATCTCGACATGAGGTCAGACTTTAAAATTGTCTGTTGGTTTATCACTTACCTTAGCTTTTTTCCTATTAATTGATCTCCTCTCAAAAGTGTTGTCATTTGAGATTTTTTTTGTGTGTATGTATTTTTTCCTTCATGTTTAATGTAAGTCTGTTTCATCTTGGGCAACAAGGAGTATAGCTGAAAACTATTCATTAATGAGCCTGATTTATTGATGAATCAAATTAGTATTTTCCATTGATATTACAAACTGTATATGATGCTCTCTTTCCTCATACTTAACACCTGAGGAGAATTAATAATTAATAATTGAAGTGAATGAAAGCAGATTTTAAGTAATTCGGCTTTTAGCTGCACTGGAAAATATTCAGTAAAATGAGATTATCTGTGGAAAAAAAGTGAAAAGAAGGAAGAATGCTAGATCAGGTTTCATTAGATTTGAGCAGATTTCTTTTAGAGAATGCTGAATTTACAGTGTTTTCAACTTATTACCATTTATTTTGTATAGTCTTTTGACTTATTACACGTGTCACGTTGCATTGGCTTCTTGATTCTAACTAGATTTTGGCAGTTTGTATTGGGCTTTATCCAGTTTGGGAGTTGCGTCAAAGGATACCTTTGTAGCTTTTGGCAGTAAGAAGGAGGTTGGTTCTGCTCAGTTGTGATTTCTTTCTTTCTCTCCTTTCTTTCTTTCTTTCTTTCTTTCTTTCTTTCTTTCTTTCTTTCTTTCTTTCTTTCTTTCTTTCTTAAGATTTTATTTATTTATTTGACACAGAGACAGAGAGAGATCACAAGTAGGCAGAGAGGCAGGCAAAGAGAGAAGGGGAAGCAGGCTCCCCGCTGAGCAGAGAGCCCAATGCGGGGTTCCATCCCAGGACACTGAGATCACGACCCAAGCCAAAGGCAGAGGCTTAACTTACTGAGCCACCCAGGCGCCCCTCAGTAGTGATTTCTAAACCTTGCAGAAAGTAGACGGGGAGACTTCTCCCCCCCCCCCACACCTGTGTCTCAGAAACTCTCAAGTACAGGGGTCGCTGGGTCGCTGAGTTTATCAGGATGAGACTGAATTACAGAGTGTGCTTATAGTTCCATTTGGAGCCTGTCCAGTGTTAATGTAACTATTTACTGAGTCTTCATTTTCTCCCACTCTTGCTTTCGGACCTTCTTATTAGAGATTGCCTACAATGTGTCAGAAATACAAGGTGGGGGGAACAAGATGTACTTGGACATCAGGGTTAAGGGGGGAAGATAAATGTACAAGAAATAGACAAGAAATTCTTTCAACTATGATAAGAAGTTGCTAACTGCTTTTAAGGAGTACAGGTTGTTTCTAGACTATGTTACAAGAGGACGATCCCTTCTAGTATAGTGGGTTTGGAATGCTTTCCCAATGAAGAGCTACAGTGAATATATGAATATATATTAAGTATATATGTATTAGGCTTAACGTTTATGGCACAAAACCCAAATTTTACCATGAGGAAACTGAGAGAAATAAGAAGCAATTACTTCACAGAGAGTATTTAATGATTTTCTTAAATCCAGTATCCTGGCCAAGAATTTGATTTCTTTCCTTTTGACTTTGACCCTTATTTAAACTTGAAGCTCAAGGCAATTATAAGGTATCTCAGACCATACAAACACCTTGATTACCAGATTTGCTGAGATTGAACCTCTTTTATAATAAAATCTGTATTTTAAATAAGGTAGTCAGACATTTTCAGTTACAAAAGATTACAGATGTCATTACAAATATTAGAAAAGCTATTTTAACCTCTGTTTGTCTTCACTCATCTAAAGGTAAATCGAGGATGTTTAAGACAAAGTTGTGAGATCTGGGAGGTTAAGCATCTTCTTAAAGCTTTTTCTGTGCTCTTTTTTTTTCTCATGGTTAAATTTGTGGTTAAGCCTTTTTTCTGGTTCAGGTAGATGATCAGGGTTATCCCATCAGAAAAATAGTAAGGGGTGTTATATCTATCAGGTAGGTGAGGGGCTAATTAGTAAGGCTTCAGCATGAGTAAGTTTTAGAAATATGTGAGTACAAGCGCAGTTTAAACTTTTGGAGAATGGCTTTGTCTTCTGTGGATGGGATTTAATGTATGAAGAAATGGTAAGGCACTTTGGTATTTAGCTTGCACAATCCCCTGATAGCTGTGAGTTCTCTGGCTGAAATTGTCCCTATTTCTCTGGCTTGAGCTTTTTAATTCTGTTTTAAGGATTCAATTCAGTATACCCGATATTCTTATTGGAGAGAATGGAATATGTGTGCATTCTTTCTCTTTTTCACCTGAATAAAGTTCTTCAATGAGAAGTCTACTTTTAGAAGTTTTCTTCATTAATCAAGGTATTTCCTATTAGAGCCCATGATATTTGTACTTAAATATGCAGGAGATGATAGGGCATGAAAATTTTTTTGGTTTAAGGTTATAGTATTACATGGGAAGTTATATCGGTAAGTGGAAGTAACAGGTAATGTGTACATTACCAAAAATATTAGTATTACTTGGTTTGGAACATGGGTGTAATGTATATATGGCTCAATCTGAGTCTTGTTCTTGGTCATATTTTTTTCTCAATATTATATGTAAAGTATATATTTAGGTTTATCTTAAAGCTGATGTCAACTTTCATATATATTTCATTGTAGTCCTTTTATTGAGAGTAAAGATATTATAAGGCTTAATGGTCATCACCAATGCCTGATGATAAGATATTCATTACAGGGAGGCTTATAATAAGTAGTTAAGGAAAACTTTTGAAGATTTGCTTGTATTCTCCAGCATATGTTATTAACAAAGTTGTCCTAGATTTTTATTATTTTTTAATCTGGTTATCTGTACCTGATGAGGCAGCATGTGTATGCATTGGGTGTAAATTACAAGATTTTGGTTTTTGTTTTGTTCTGTGATTTATAGTGTGACCCTCAGTTTCCTCATCCATAAATAGATGATAATCCTGTCTTAATTACTTCATGACTTGCTGTGGGAACATATGAGATAGTTCATATGTAAAAGCTTTGAAAACTGTAAAAAGATATGTATTGGTCTGTTAGGACACTTGGTTTCTTGTCTTTTTTTGTTTCTGATATTTAAATTCAGCTTTTGTAGCTTATAGTTTTAATCTTAAAAAGTAAACATTTTGGAAGCAGTTTAAATGTAATGCATTTGTCAGAGTTTTCCAGAAACACATAACCAAAAGGGTATGTGTATATGTCTACACACACACACACACACATATACTTATTAAAAGGAATTGGCTCACCCAGTTACGGAGGCTGAGAAGTCCCAGGATCTACAGTTAGTAAGCTGGAGACACAGGAGAGAAAGCCCTCATCAGGCTTGAGACCAAAGGTGGGAGATGTTTCTTTCTGAGTCTGAAAGTGGGATAAGACTAATGCCCCCCTGAAGGAAGGCAGGCAGGAGGAGTTCCCTGTACTGAACTGCTTGGTTCAGTTCAGGTCTTCAGGTCTAGATGAGGTCCACCCACCTGCGGAATCTGGTTTACTCAATCTACTAAAAATGTTCATCTTATCGAGAAACAACCTCACAGACACACCCAGAATGATGTTTGGCCAAACAACTGGGCATTTTGTGGTCCAGTCAAGTTGACACATAACTAACCAGCACATGCAGTATAAATTTATTCGTGACAATAAAGTGATTCTACCTCCTTTATTCTAAATATTTTAAAAAATGAGGTCTTTTTAAAAATATTTATTTGTTTATTTAAAGATTTTATTTATTTATTTGTTAGAGAGAGAGCGCGAGAGACAGGGGGAGCGACAGACAGAGCAGGCAGAGGGAGAAGCAGGCTCCCTCCTGAGCGAGGCGCCTAATGTTAGACTCAATCCAGGACCTTGGGATCTTGACCTGAGCTGAAGGGAGACGCTTCACCCACTCAGCCATCCAGTTGTCCCTATTTATTTTATTTATTTTAAAGATTTATCTA